CATCGCAGCTTTCTTTCAATTACAATTTGTGTGGTGTATTCTTTCTGTCCTTTTACTTTTAACATATCGATTATCTATGTCTTTATTTATTTTTTTTTAAATTTTTTTTTTTTTTTCAACGTTTATTTATTTTTGGGACAGAGAGAGACAGAGCATGAACGGGGGAGGGGCAGAGAGAGAGGGAGACACAGAATCGGAAACAGGCTCCAGGCTCTGAGCCATCAGCCCAGAGCCTGACGGCCTGATGCGGGGCTCGAACTCCCGGACCGCGAGATCGTGACCTGGCTGAAGTCGGACGCTTAACCGACTGCGCCACCCAGGCGCCCCTATGTCTTTATTTTTTAAATGGCTTTCTTGTCAAAAGTGTAACTGGGTTTTCCAGTGTGTCAATTTGTCTTTTTAATTGGTATGCTTGTTCCACTTACATTTAATAATTGATATTATTAGATTATAGTAATATCAATTGATACCATCTGCTATCTCGGCAGACATTTTCAATTTGTCTTTTTTCATTCTTTTTTCCTTTTTTCCTGCATACTTTTTAATTGAGTATTTTTTTAAATAATGCATTAATAATTTTTACTATCTATTACATTTTGAAATGATAATATTTGAGATATACTAAATTAAATAAAATATATTGTTGAGATTTAATTTACCCATTTCTTTTATTTATTTATTTATTCATTTATTAACGTTTATTTATTTTTGAGACAGAGACAGAGCATGAACAGGGGAGGGGCAGAGAGAGAGGGAGACACAGAATCTGAAACGGGCGCCAGGCTCTGAGCAGTCAGCACAGAGCCCGACACGGGGCTTGAACTCACGGACCGCGAGATCATGACCTGAGCCGAAGTCGGCCGTTTAACCGACTGAGCCACCCAGACGCCCCTACCCATTTCTTTTTACTTCTTTTAATGTGGTTGTTAGAAAATTGTAACTTACATGTGTGGCTTTCATTATATTTCTCTTTTTTTTTTTAATATATGAAATTTATTGTCAAATTG